ATATGGGGAATGATCCAATGCAACAATTTTGTAGTAGTATAATGCAACCACATCTCTAGAAAACCATATTTTTGGCATTTGTATGACCTCAAATTTTACACAAATTCTTTTCATCCTCATAATCAATCCTAAAAAAAAAAAAATTTCAATTTGCACCGTAGATGTTGTCAAAATTAATACCCATCCAACAATGAATCTCGACCATCCATTTGGTGAATTTCAAGATCTAGGCCTTAACAATTTCAAAATCACTTTTTTCTTTTTTGGTAGTATTAATCTAATGATGATAACACTAAATAAAATTTTTTGGAATAAAGCCTATAGCTAACCATCTCAATACAAGGGACGACTTATATTAATTGGGCTAGAATGAAAACTTTCTAGAGTATTTTTTTAAAAGTTTCGATTTTGTGACTGTTCTTTAGAATGAAAAGAGTGTACATTTAAAAATTCGTGTTAAACAAATGTTTCTAACATAGTTTTTTAAGATAGTTGCATTATACTACTATACAACCATTGTATGAAATCATTTTCATATATATATATATATAGTAAAGATCCTATGAGACCCGCACACATTCGGGTTGCAAAGGACTTCACTCTTATGCCGTCAGATCTGACACCAGATGTCGAAGAAAGATTGGGCTGCCAACTCACAAGTAATGGTGGTCAAATCTCTATCTTGCACTCTATTATCCTTGAGACAGCACTGCAAATTCTCTTGGACCAGCACTGCAATTTATACAAGCTAGCCCAAGTCCATGCTTCTCTCTCTCGCTCTCTCTCTCTTCCCTCTAAGAAACTACATTCTCCCCCTATACTCTACGAAATGGGTCGTGTCCAATACCTCTCTCCTGTTTTTGCACTTTTATTACTCTCTACTGTAGAAATCACTGATTTTCCTCCAGGAGTGGTTTTTGCTATTTTATTAAACCTTTTCTCTCTCACATTCCACAGTTAAATCTTCTCTCTCTCCATAACCAAAAAAGCCTACTGCTCGCAAGTGTGCTTGCTCATATCTACACATTGAATAAAAAATCATCATCGTCTTGCTACAACCCATCAAATCCTCTTCCCTCTTGCCCTCACCAATCCATTCCCTCTGCCTCCCCATGTGCCTGCAAAGCCTATGAAACCTATGTCTCTATCTTTCTCTCTCTCTCTACTTCCATGGAGAGCAAGAAGTCAAGCTTGTTGGATGGTTGGAATTTTTTCCGGAAAGTCGAGAATTCAGGCTTGAAGCCCCATTGCCCAGTATAAAACAAGAGGAGGAGAGATGGGAAGCACCTGGTTGGAGTTTTTTTGCTGATTTTGATAAGTTAATTGTTGCTATAATGCATAATGGTGATTCTTCTTCTTCTATGGATATGAGTGAATTCCCCCAAACTCCATGGGATTCTTCTCACCATCACCTCTTGAGATCTATTTCTCCTAGGATAAAGGACTAATATTTTTGTGTTTTTAATATGGGTTTCTCTCTCTCCAAACTGTAAATAGATGGAGTTCAACAGGTTTGATGGGATGTTTTGAGCAATTAGACTCTCTCTCTACATTGTAAATTAATGGAAGACGAGTGTCTTGTTCCTTCCATATTCTGTTTAAAACATTACTAATTGTTGAATTTTCAAATGAATATTGAGGTTGATGAATGGGTTGCAATTGATATGTCGGATATTTTATTTAGCTAATCTCTCTCTTCCCCCAACAACCAACCCAGGTCCAAGTTTTTACTGTCTCCCCCCCATCCCCTCCCTCACTCTATAATTGCAATCGATTGTCGTAGTTATGTGTGGCTTTTCTTAACTAGGAAGAGCCAAGTCCTGTGCTCTCAATATTTCAACATTTAATCCTTACTCCACCTTTGAGAGAGAGCTTCATCGTAGAGTATGAGATGGTATGGATTTATGCCCTTTTTTTTGTTTTTTTTTTTTTTTTGACGTTAACCATTTCACTCAGTTCCTCTTTACGACTTTTACCGGTGAGCTAGCGTCTTATCTCTCCTTGAGATGTGTATGTAGATCTAATGGCACAAAAATTGGGTCCTATGCAGCCTATATGTATGAGGGTTTCATAGGATCATTACTAAGATATATATATATATATATATACATATATATATATATATGCGAAAATGAACCGTGATTTCGTCTATGCTCATCACTATCAAAATTTATTAAACAGTCACGATTGTCTGGTGGTGTTTCAATTTTTTTTTTTTTAATGAATCAGAATGATCTGAAATTTGGAACATGTGTATATCTTAGTGAAGCGCACCTAATAAAAATATGAAAGAAAATATTTTGTAAAATATAAATTGATCAAAATACTCCCGTAAATTTTCAGGGGTATGTTGGTCAATTTATATTTTACAAATTATTTTTTATATTTTTATTAGATTATCTTATTTTTTATGAACACATGCTCTAAATTTCAGATCATCATGATTTGTAGGAAAAAAAATGGAAATTGAAACACTACAGGACAACTATGACCGTGTGATGAAGTTTAAATGGTGATAAGCATAAGCCAAATCACT